AAAGAATGTATTCGTGCATTGGGTCGTGGTGATGGTTGTCATGTACCATTTCGTGGTTCAACATTAACAAAAGTTTTACGTGATTCATTTATTGGTGATAAATCAAAAGTTTGTATGATTGCAATGGTTTCACCAACACATTCTGATGTTGAAAATACAATGAATACATTACGTTATGCTGATCGAGTTAAAGAATTACGTGCTGGTGATAATGGTGAAACTGTATCAAATGAAGATGATGAAATTAAAATGGATGGAATAAAGAAAGGTTTGATTTCATTCAATAATTTTTTTTTGTTTTTTACATTATGAATATTTTAGCATTACCTATTGATGATAATAAAGAAAATAAACGTCGTCATCATTATCCACATCATCATCGTGATGGTTCTGCTTCGTCCAATGATAGTACAAGTTCATCATCAAATGATATACGAGATGAGTATGATGAAGATGATGAACAAGATGAAGCATTAGCTTCATATGCAGCACAAGTTGAACATTTACAAGAATATGAAGAAGCACTATTTGATTCATGTCAAGAAATTTTAGCGAATAAAGAACCAATATTAACGCGACAATTACGTACAATTGTTAAACAAGCACAAGATACAGTTGATTATGATCAAGAAAAATTTGTTAATGATATGCGTGCAAATTTATTACAACGTCAACAAATATTAGATGAACTTCAAACACGATTACAAGCATTTGCTGATTGTCTTCAACAAGAAGAACAAGTTGCTGCTCAACAACGTGTTAAACAACATCATCATCATTCAAATGGCAATATATATTAAAAAATAACAAATTAAACTTTTCTATTTTCTTTTTTCTCTCTTTCACATTTAAACATATTATTTCGCCTTTCTTTTTCTTTTTTTTCATTTTTTTTGCCTTTTCATTCTATACGAGAGTGCGACTGTCTTAAAATATGAATGATGATTAATATATATATATATTTCAAAGAAGTCAGTGAATAAATAATAAAAGAAAATAACTCATCTGCTTAATTTTATATAGAAAGAATGAATATTTATAAATACAAAAAGTTTTTTTAAAAAAAAAAGAGTTATGTTAAACGAAAAGCATTCATAGTTCTTGAGTATCTATTTTCTTTTGTTGATGATATCTTTCTTGTAATGGTACATTGTATCGAAAATCTTCATTATAATCATTTATAGGTTGTTGATTTGTATGTTCAGATGATGATGGATGGAGATAATTTCGTGAATGAAACATTGTTGATATTGGACGACGTTGAATAGTAGCAATTTGTGCTCTTGGTAATGATACAGATGGTGGTGGTATATCAGGTATATGATAATCATTGTTATTAGCTTTGGGTGGATTTAAAAGACCATCAGAATATGTACATGAACCATCATAGGATGCTGATGGACATTCAGTATTGTAACGAAGTAACATTCTCTACAATATTTATATATAAATAAATATTTAATATATATTTAATCAATTGTTTAACCTGTCGTGTGTTGTATTCTGATATAGCTTGATTTAAATAACGAAAATGAAAAATGCTTATGAATATACCATATAACTACAAAAACAAATGTTAATATTTTATTTATATTAGAAATTTTTTTTTCTACGAACTGAAACAATAAGACGAATGATCATGACAAAGAAGAGTATTTTTACTTGTTTTGATGGTCGATGAATCTAAATAAAATATTGATAGGAATCTTAAATTTCATTTTAAAATTCAAATAACCTGTTGCTGATGTTCTCGAAGAGAGAGAACAGTAACAATACCATCAATAAGTAACATAATAATCATTAAAACTGACCAAATAAATAAGAGCCATGGTTTATTCTTAAAAAAAGTAAAATTAATAATATATCAATTTAATTCAACAAAAAAAATTTACTAATTGAATTCCACAAAGAAGAATAATAATAAGAAGAACCACGATAAAATAAACACTAAGTGAAATCCAATTAAGTATAATTGTTTCTGGAGATGCTATTATAGATGAGAAAATTGTTTCTAAAATAAAAAACAGTATAATTAATATATGAAATAAATTTAATTGATTAATTTCATACCATTTCTAACATCTGATGATTGTATTGCCATAAGTGTTGTTACATCAATTAAAGTATATAGTCCACTACTTGCATAAACGATCTAGATTCAAGAAAAAAACATCTAATAAATATGTTTATTTATTTACTTACAATAATTAGTAAGGCAGTGCTTATTGATAAAGTCGACCATTTAATTTTATTTAAACTTAAACAATGAGTAGAGGTCGGAAGACAAGAACATACGGAAGGATCGAGTATTTCATTAATGTTAGATGTCATTATATTTTGTCTGTCAGCTGACAGACTACCACTTAAAAAGAATGAAACAGTAGAAACAAGAGAGAATGAAAGTATATGTGTGTGTGTGTGTGGATAAGATGTGCTTCCCTTTCTGTTTGTTTCTTTCGTTTCTTTCATTCAAATTGAATCGATATGTAAAATCACGAAGTAATACGAAGAAAGAAACAAACAAATTGTTAGATAGATTGATGCCTGGTAGTTATGATATAAATGCATCGAACCTTCCAGTAAACGTGCGCATGCCAAGGCAATTTTATATAAATATTAAAGATAAATTAGACACATGTATATTTTATATTGCATATTTTTCAATCAAACTACAAAATTAGAGAATGTTAATATGAATCATTTTTTTATTTGCTTGCTACCATTTGTTCACTTAATTTCCATAAACGTTCAGCTGCGTCCATATCTATTGAATGTGGTGCCATACCTTGATATTTCTCTTTCGAATTAACTCCTTGACTAATTGCACAATCTTCAAGATATTCTCCTCCATGATTATCAAGTTCAGGTGCTAAAGCAGCATAAACACTTGTTGATGCACCTTGTTCAATAGTTTTGAAAAGACCATGAGCAGTACCATCTTCTTTCAACCATCCCATTGCACGTTGTTCTTCAATTGGTATATTTTTTTGTAAGTTTGTAAAAATTGCACCTGGATGTAAAGAATAAGCTTTGATACCTTCCGATGCATATAATTTATTGAGTTGTTTAGCAAAAAGAATATTAGCCGTTTTACTCTGAGCATAAGCATTCCATCTTTCATAATCTTTTTCCCAATTAATATCATTCCAATTGATACCACCATTTTTATTTGCCAATGAACTAACGACTACGACACGTGATGGTTTACCTGCTTTGAGTTGAGGTAAAAGACTAGTAGTCAGAAGAAAATGAGCAAGATGATTAACAGCAAATTGTGATTCAAAACCATCAACTGTCTTCGAATAGGGACAAGCCATAATGCCTGCATTGCCTATATTATGAATATATAAATATTCATATACGATGAAATCAATTACTTACAAATAAGAATATTTATTGGTAATTTACGTGCTTGAAATTGCGAAACAAAATTTCTAACCGATTGAAGTGATGTAAGATCCATTTCCATTACTTCAACTTTATTATTACCCGTTGTCTTTTTAATATCTTCAATAACTTCGGCACCTTTTTTCATATCTCGTGCTGTTATAATAATATGTGCATTTGCAGATGCGAATGCACGAGCTGTTTCAACACCAATACCTGATGTAGCACCTGTAATAAGTATAACTTTTCCATCTAATTTTGCATTAAGTCCTTTAACAACTTCACTTGCACTGGATTTTGCATGAAAATTTGATGTAGTCATTGTCAAAAAGAAAAAATATTGACTGAAAGTGTGATGTTTTTATTTTTCTTTATATATATATATTTGCTAATGACGATAAGGATCAAATGCAGACTTGTTATTTACCCGTGTGTGGGTGTGGGTGTGGGGGGGGGGTTTAGTCATCTCACACCGTTATTCATACTCTTCGAATAGAATAGAATAATAAGTTATATTCATTTGTTATTTTCTAATTTATCAAAAAGTATTCATCTTTTTTCTATATATTGTTTTGCTACATATAAAAAAATTTTTACATTGGATAATTATGATTTAGCAAATATTTTTGCACGAGGAAAATAATGTTTAATATCATCTAAATTTACATCATTTTCATCATCAAGTACATATAAATTTAAACGAATTAATTTGGAACAATTGATTTGTGTTGTACTTCTTGTAAAATTTTCTGTCACTCTCTGCATTGCTTCATATTCGATGGTAAGATCGACAGTGTTGGGTAAACATGTCTTCGAATCACTTAGAAATTCTTCGATATAATCATCGTGAACTTCAAGTAGATGAAGTTTAGTTAAATGAAAGTATCTGGTTATTGAAGAATCTTGATGATTTTTCTTTTGAGGTTGTTCATTGTCTAATCTTAATATTTTCACATTTGGAAATGCTTGAGTAATACGAAGAAAAAATTCATGTTCGAATGGCTGATTATCAAATAATGATATTTCACGAACATATGGAAAAGATTTAAAAACAAAATTATTTGTAATTCTCTCGTATTCTTTCCTTTTATATATATGTGAAATTATCAACGTAAGAAATTATTTCATTATCTTTGAAATCTTTGAATGTATTTTGAAAATCATCGTTTGATGGTATATTACTTCCATTATTAAGATAAATATTTAAACGAATACTAAATGAAAATTTCTTCAATCGAGACATATGATTGAGAATATTTTTCTTCAAATCTGCACCATCAACCACTGTTTGTTTACGAGAGATTTTAAGATATAAATCCAACTCTTCTAAATTAATCATTCGTTGTAGGAGTGGTATAATTAAATTATCATATAAATCTGTATAGAATCTATGAACCAGCGAAAAATGTTTTAAATTTGGTAATTTATCCTAGATAGTAAAGATTTTATACGAATAAATAATATTGATAAGAATAATTTACCTTATTATCAATTATTACTTGTGTAGATCTTTCGCGTACAGTATATACACGAAGGGTATGAAGTTGACTAAAGCGTCCATCAAGTAAATAAAGACAATCAGTCAAATCGTTCAAAGATACATGCAATTCTATTAAAGTTGATGAAAAAATATTTGGAGGTGAATTACCAAAGGATAATTGTTGTGATGTATCGAAAGAAAAGTATTTCAAGTTGCAAAATATTGTTAAGATATGTATAAATATCAATAAATTTATATCTGAACGTTCACACATATCTCCATATTGTTTAATGTCGATAGTAAGTAAATCGATTTGGTTTACATCTATATGATTTAAAGGAGATTGGCCTAAAAAGAAAATATTTATCAAACCATAAGTCTGATCATTAAATCAATTTTTTTAGGAAAAAATAATTATGGATTATACGTACAGGAAATAAAACTAGCTATGTGCCGACTTTGAAAGAAGAGTATTCATTATTTAAAGGCAATTAATGTCTTACTTGTGAAAAGAGATGCAGCCGTTTTTGCATGAAGATTAAATAGGCCAAGTTGATGTAAATTAGGATAGCTCGCCGTAGAAAGTATGCGCTCCATAGTTGATGATTCTAGATCAAGTCGTCGAATATGATGATGAATTTTAGGTAAAATATCTGAACAAAATCGATTCAAAACTATTTCTGGTAATTGACCGACTGAATTATGTGAAACTCCATTCATCAATTGTAAGTATCTTGTAAAAACTGGATCACATGCAATTCTATCTAATTTTCTATTAATACCTATTAGAGAATAGAGCACTCTGATATTCCATAGTTTTTCCAAAATCATCATGAGAATTTCATCGGGTAAATCATTCAATTGAATAGTTGAATCGTTCATATTTATTGAATGATATATCTAAACGACTTTTTATTTATCTATGTCAATATATAAATATTGATATATTCATGTCATCTCCTGTTTGACCGATGCCGTCGATGGAAACAAATATTCTATACGTGAATGATATTTTTGTTTCAGATGAATATCATTCAGATCTATTTTATACAAGATAAATGCATATCAATCGTAGAACGTAGCATCTCAGAATCGCAAGCACGTTGTTTAAAAACAGAGGAGAAAAGTTATTAACCAAAAGTAAAGCTTAAGAAATATTGAAATAAACAAAAAAAAACACAATCGTAATTATGTGAATCTCACCATTTTCACATACATTTACACTCACATATTTGAACTAATGAATTGATATTTAAATCATTTATTTGTATCTTTTAATAAGCACAAAACTATTTAAAATGTTATTGTTACAATCAGTGTTCTAATATCAGTAGAAAATTGGAACGGGTCTGAACAAAACCGGGTTATATCGGTTCATGATACTTGTGTTACAAATTCTTTGAGGATAAAAACGACTTTTATTCACTTATTTTGATTTGAGATACTATGTTAGCGATTGTTAGAAGTTTCAGATGAAAAATAAAGAACATACATATTGCACTTCTCGTTAGTTTGACTATTTATTTACTGTTAATCTTTATTTTTTTTTTATTATATTTTACAAAAACAAAATTGTTTATCTTTTTTTTATTTGCATAGAAGTTGGGTGTGTCGAAAGTTTTATTTTTTGATCTAAAAATATAAGAAACATAATTCTAAATCACAGGTAACTTACTCAAATTTTACTATTGATTCAACATCATCTTTAATTGTAAAGTGGATTCTCTTAGTAATGCACCCGTATTAGTAAGAACAGTTGTAGTTGCTAATGGTTGATCATTTGTTTTAGTTTCTGACCGTTTTAAAATGTTTGAAATAGTTCCTGTTCTGTTATTAATTAAATCTTTAGAACCCAGGCCGAACAATCCGGCACGGAAACGGCCGGTTCCTTGATATTCCGGAGATTTCATGGAAGCAGCATTCCCGTCGACCGGATCTATTGAATATTTTATTATATTCTAATTGTTTAGACCATGGTGAATCTGCATTTAACTAAAATATGATCATACAAACACATCAAATATTATTAAAGTAACTTACTTGGAATTTTATAATACATGTGTCTTTACCAAAAATCATGAGTTCCCAATAATTAATCGTCTTTATTAACATATTGTATTTTAAAATTTTTCTTCGACTTGTTCATCTTTTAAGGAAAATTCCCGTGATACCATTGATATATGTGTAGCTAATACAATATAATATTCTTTTGGTGGAATCTTGTGTTTATATTTACGAATTAATTCAAATAATTGTTGTGTTCGATTCATTTTCAACAGACAAATGTATGAGAATTTCGATCTAAAAATTGAAATTTATAAATGGTAGTCATACAAAAGAAGGAAATGTTTATTCTTTTGTTTTGTTTACTATTATAAAATTGCGCATTTCATTTTGAATTTATTATATACGTACTATGATGTGATTTAAATACAAGTTATGCTCGTTCACGTAGAAATGCATCCTCTTCATATTTACTAGAAAAACAACTAAAAACCATGCTTTCCTTTGTTGTTCATTAGTTTTAGCACATAATCGCATCCTACTCAGTGGTAAACATAGGTCAAAACATATTTAAGCTGCCGGCACCAGTGGTTTCTCGAACTAGTCTTTAACGAATGAGTGAAGCGTTAGTAATCATATACGCAAGAATGCCAACAGTTTATGGTCGCCACACTCTGCACTACAAACAAGATAATATTTAGATACTCATAAAAATGCATTACTCGAAAACTCGGTTTCTGTCAGTCTAGATCAAGTCTCTCAATCCGCACACACCTCCCTCCAGTAGTCTGTGAAAATATGGTGCACATTTGAATTCCTCACAATGAAATACCTCAAGAATTATCTGTTCCCAAAAATAGGGCTTCGATGTTTTTTTGACCCTGTGAACACAGAAGCAAGCAAATAATTTATTTTTACTGGACTCTTCTCTATGAGAAAGAGAACAGAAAAGAAAAAAAATACAAGAATTATGATCAATATATTTCAAAATTTTTGTAGGCTATTCTCAAACAGCACATACATCACATCATATGTACATTAATGATTACAATGAACCATTCATTGTTTGACTATTGTATTCTAATTGACAATTTAAAAAAATCACAGTATGATATAACAAATTAATACTAAATCGTATAGTTGTATTGTTCATATATAAAGAAATTTTCATATGTTTAAATAATTGTCACGTTATACATCTTTTCTTCTCAATATTCTTCATAGCTTAGTAAAATATTTGAATATTTATTTTCTCTTATTAAATTTCTTCATATTATAACATTAAAAGTAAAATCTTAAATAAATGAATATGATGAGAAATTCTATGTAATATTTCAACTAAAAGAGTTATATCAATAATAGTTGAAAAAGTACTTGTTAACAACCTATTCAATTGCATGAGATTTAATCATAATTATAATCTTTGAAGCGAGATATATGATATATTATGCTCCGTTGAACAGGTCATACAAATTTAAATTCACATTTGCTTCATTTGTTGTTGTCGACATATTTGACTATGATTTTTTTTTGGTATTGTCAATTTCTAACTACTATGAATGTTATTAGCTATGACATTTTTTTTTATTTTTATACGGAAGTATAGGAAAATCAACGTCTAAGAACGCCCTCTCTCTCTCTCTATTTGACTTTCTCTCTCGTTCTTTCTTTCTGTTTAACCAAACATCTACAAATATTCGTTTATTTTCTTAGATTCATTTTCTCATATTTCGAAACGAATAGATTCATTTCAAAGTAATAAATTTTTGTTTCGTAAATTTTGATTATTTATAACAAAAGACGAATACTTGTAAGTGTATAAATATATATATATCTTT